AGAAAATGTATAGGAAATTACCTATAGGCACACCATAACTTTTAAATTTTTCCTATAGAGACCGATAGCAAATAACTCAATGAAAGATATATAGGGATATCCCTATAGAGCAACCACAAAACATTTGAAATTTTTTTATTAAAGCTTATGGGGTCCTATGGGGAAAACTAGTTTCTACATTTATGTATATTTTCCCCATTGAAACCAATAGCAAATAAATCAATGGTGGATATCCCTATAGAACAACCATAAATCCCAACTATGGGTCCTATACAAACCGATACACCCTATAGAAACACCATACATTCCGATACTAATATCTATCGGTTTGAACAGGTTATCTATGGGGTATTTTAAGCAGGGATGTGTCAAATGTGACATTTCATTTCATAAATTGATTTTATACAAGCCTGTAAAATATAACAGGTCTGTTTCTATATGAATTGTTTATTTGAATGCAAAAACAATAAAATTAACCCATAAAATGTCATTTACTAAGAAGGTGGAAATAAATAAAATTAAATGAACATTAATGGAACATGGTATTTTTTTAAATAAAGTTGCCTTGTTATTACTATAAACAGCATAAAGTCTCTATTATTTACTAACAAACTAAGATTTGTCTGCTTTAGACAATCAAAGTGCATTTATGGTTCATCTTTTTTCAGATATCTGATATTCTTAAGGTGTAAGGGGATCTTGAATTCTGCTCCAAATACCCTTTACTTCACACTTTTGTGTTTCCTGAAATTTATACAATTTCGACAACACGCATTATGGAAGTCTGCTCCTCATGTTTAAAAAAAAATCATAGCAGATTAGCAGGTTTTTAGGGTTTACTTTATTAAAAAATCGCCAAAATATTCACAATAAAAAAATGGCCAAAAATCAGTCAATTACCATACCAAAATTAAGCGAAAAAAAAGTTCAAAAACTAGTGCTATAAATAAATTTATAAAATTACTTTGAGTTTCAGCAAAATTTCACAGCATAGAAATATTTATTGTAAAAAACAAACCACATATTTTTTGATAAAATAAATTCATGCAGTAAAGGATTTTATTTAAAAATGCACTGCATTAGTTTTAGACCTATTTATTAATACCATAAAATGTATGACCTTAATTTAAAGTAAGGTCACAAAATTTTAGTTCGGTTAAAAATCACCTGATGTTTATGAAATGTTAAAATGAAAAAAATCCTTACCAAAACAAACTTCTTCTTGAATAAATGTAGTGCATATTAAACAGATTAGATTGGATCGTCATCTTACATACACGTATTTCACCACACATTTTATTTATTGAGTTTTTTAGGCATTGTTTATAGTTTTTTCATCGATAGAGAAAAAAATTAAAAAGTTAACACACAGTTACTGGTAATTTCCTATATCGTGGCTTGAAAACCATTGTGAAAAAATGCTTATGAGTTTTCGACTTTTTAAATAATTTTTCGTCATCTTTTATTTTGATACGAGGGTTGCCTTTTATATTTCGGGAATGGCCGAACCTGCTGATGCTATCGGACAACAGATGTCTGTATCGTTAAGTTCGACCTTTTAGACGGTGTTCTTACTTAACACGTTTTGACGTGCGGGCGCAATTAGTATTATTAACAGTCACTTGAAAAATTAATGTCGGCCAAAAAAATGGAATTGACCCGTGAACATTTTCGTGCTATAATTTTTACAACTTTAACGTGGATTATCCCAACAATAATGCATCGATGAACTTAATTTGACTTTTGGCGACAAAGTGCCATAAAAAACAAGTGAATATCGGTGGTGTTCCGAATTTAATCGTGGCCGTGGTTCGCTCACCGACAAATTTCGTGAAGGTCGTCCAAAATCACTCGTTCTTGCAAAAAACATTGATGCTGTGCGTGAACGGGTAATGCAAGATCATCATGTGACATATCGTGAGATTGGGTCATCCTTGGGCATTAGTGGGACCAGCATACATTCAATATTAAATGAACACTTGGCCTTCAGAAAAAATTGTTACCGTTGGATCCCACATAATTTGAGAATCGATCAAAAAAGGTCTCGGGTCTAGTGGTCAAAAGAAATGCTTAAAAAATATGATGGCGGTGCTTCAAAACATTTTCATGACATTGTATCAGGTGACAAATCATGGATCTATGCGTATGAACCTGAAAGTAAACAGCAGTCGACTGTGTGGGTCTTTAGAAGCGGTTGATGCGTTCAAAATGCATGTTTTGGAGGTGCCTCAATCGGAGTGAAAAAAATGCTTCGAAAATTGGTTCAAGTGCATGCAAAAGTGTGTCGATCTTCACAGAGAATATTTTAAAAAACAATAAAGCCATGTACGATGATTAATTGTTGTTTGTTTTCTCTATTCCCGAAATATAAAAGGCAACCCTCGTATAACTCTTAATGAATTTAAAAAATCTGTTCATTATATCCTACTTTGAAATAAAAAGTTTAAGCACATTTGCTGAAGGGTAAAAGTCAACACAACAGAAAAAGGGCAAGGCGCCATTATTTAATTGGTCTTCAAGCAAAAACACATAAAACAAAGTTGGTAACACCTCAAAGCAACGCCATTTTTCGGTTCACTTTCGGCACACTTTACTACGCCTCACTGTGAGCCCAATGTCCAAACTAGGTTGCATTAATTCATTTTTTTTCTATTTACTTAAAACTTAAAAAATAATTAAACTTTGAGACTAACCAATGCTGGTAATTAATTATATAATTTATTTTTTCATTTTCCAGTGTTGCCACATTAGTATTTTTGGAAATTAATTTATAAAATACAGGGTTATCTTCAACTAGTGTACTAAACCATGCCAACATTATCTACCGATCAAAATAAGTCGATTTAACCCAAATTACCTATATACTAAGTTGCTTTGTTTAGTCGTTAGAGGCCTTTAAAGTTTTGAAAAATGACTATTTTTTTAAATATCTTAAAAACGTATTAATGAATTTTGAATATTTATGGAGTATAAGTTTTAACTGCCAATTAACGTCGTTTGGTGCTACACTCAGTTATCTTTAAAAAATAGAGTAATCAGAAAAGCAAGATAAGGTACTAATTTTCGCTTGTATTTTTTTTACTGTTGATAAAATGGTTACCAATTTGATAGCAAATAGAAAGCTCACTTTGTTTAAAAACTTGTTTGTCTCTTGTAAAAGTTGGATGAGCGGTTTAGCCAGAAAAAAAATATTTTGTAATGTGTGCATACCTACTATCGATATATCGCGATAGTTACTATGTTTTATCCCGAAAATTATTGATCATCTAGAGAATCCTTTTCTGAATATAGGTCAATTTGACTTCGTTTAGCAGATAAAAAGTTAAATACAGAGTGTTGGTAATAGGTAAATTGTGTATAAAGAGGAGTGTTTTCGCATATTTTTTCGGTCACTTCCGGTTTCACCGGAAATGGGTCCAGGTTCAAAACATTAAATAGAAACCCCTGTATATATTTACATTCTCGGTTTCTTAACATAATTTTGGACTTAAATGTGATTTTTTAATGCCTTTTGAGCAATTTTTAACACTTTTAACAAATATTAAACGCCATGTATATAATTTTCTCATTGCCCAACCATTACATTCCATAAAAAACTGATGCATATTAGATGCATATTAATTGTTAATATTTTCTTTTCTCAGAGGTTTACATTTTTGACTGGGATAAGTTTCGCGATTTTTTGCGATTTTTTTGGTTAACAGTTTTTAGTAGTCTACATCTTTGTCTAATAAAAAATATATATTTTGGCTTGGCATTCGTTGGCCTTCCTATTTTTTTACTCTGCAAAACTTAAAAAATTAAATATTCATGGTAATTACCTTATCAGTTCTTGCCAAAAACAAAAAAAAAACACGAATTTTCTATTATTTTATGTGCCCAACACAACTAATTGACAGGTCCTAATGTCAGTTATGAAATGTTTAAGGCGACTTTTGCTTTTCACGGCCCTCTAAGCTATAAAAAAAATCGCAAAAATCGTAGTTTTAATTAAAACGATTGCATTAAAAATAGACTTTCTTTTAAAGATCTGACATTGGGCATTTATAAAAAAGTCTTCGTAGAGTATTTTCAAAAAGCAATTATGTTTTAACAAGTTTGAATATGTTTTTAATAATACAATAGTGGCAAATTATACATTTTCAATAATGACTTATTGCAACTTAGTTTGGGAATACGGCCCACAGTGCGCCTGTGTGAAATAGGCGTTACGCGGCCAATCTCTCTAATTGCCCAAGGCAGGGCTGGTCAAAATGGGCCGCACGCGGCCCGCTACGACCTTCTCTTGCAGTTTTAGTGATTTTTTACACTTTTCAAAGCTTTCAAACATACGAATTTTTGAATAAAAAAAATAATCCTGGTATAGATTCTTTGGAAAATTTTATGCTCTACAAGAATCCGCGCCGTAAAATTTTTTATCTCAAACGGTTCAAAAGTTATAGTCTTTTTAATGAAAAAAGATTTTTTTACGTGTTATTTCATTGGAAAACTTAGAATGCTCACCGACACCTTTTAAAATTGAGCAAAAAATTTTGCCTTGCAGGGAAATTTTTTGCTCGGTATGTAGGTTCATTTTAACCCATAAATCCGATAGGTTAGTTTTTTTGGCTCACCCTAATATATAGGGAGGCCCAACAGAGGGGTACTCCAGGTTCAAGGGAGATATCTTTTACAATAGATTTTACTTGGAAATCGCTTCACTGCTTACTGTCTAAAAACTTCTTTTAAGTTTTTATTGGGTCATCCTGTATAGGATATATTTTATAAAAAGTATATAACTATTAAGAAAAAACCCAAAACCCTTATATACCCTTAAAAAGCACACACGAAATAAACAAAAATGTTGTAGCTAAGTACCTATTCAAACACCTAATCATTATTGCCTCGATTATTCGTTAATAAATATATCGAGACTAATAAACTGAACGCAGCAAAAAAGTATAAAACAATAATTACTGCCAATAAAAAAAACTTATTATAAAAAATAGCATTATATTTACCTATCATCATCATCAGTATTAGTATGTCCATTTGTTAGTGATTTACTATGAGAGTAAGATTAGTAAAAATGAAATATATTAAAAACAAAAAAATACATACTCAAGATCCGGGGTAGTCGGGGTTTGGTTTGGAGCGCTTGAATGTCCAGGATGTCTGGAGACAACTTTGTCATATGGCACTGAAGCACTGCGGCTAAAATCTGGATTCGGCCGTAAGCTTTTTTTTCTCTCGGCTCCTAAATTATTAAAATTTTCAACAATGTTAAATAAGAGCATTTACATAAATTGGTAGGTAATTTTTGTGTATTGTATGCACGGCTCTGGTCAATACGCTGTGGATAGCACCGATAATTTTGAAATCTTAAAAATTTGAAGCAACAAAGCCTTAGAATTTCTGAAGGAATACGTAGTGCATTGATTATCCGGTGACCGTAGTACACGCTATAGAATGTAGGTACTATAAAATATAACACAGCCACACAAAAAAAACAAAAGTACCCGGATCTGGGTATGTGACTTAGATTTTGTTATGTATTTTGACACGCTGAATCCGAATCCGATGTCAAAATTCGCCCTGCAAGTCTGAGTTTCAACATAACCTTAAAAAACTGAAAAAATAGTTTTTTCTGTTCTAGGGTTGAGGCATATCAATAGTTCTGTTTTTCCACGTGCCAAATCAAAATTTAGAGACAAAACTAATCTCACCAGTTGTCCTTTAACCTTAACCTAGGACTTTTTATTTCAGAGTTCACTATTTTTATCAAATTGTTTTAGCATCTACATCGACATTATATCAAAACCACTAATACTCTCCAGCCTTATTCTTTTGCACTATACCGTTTTATTTTTTCTTCGAAAGATCTATTTAAGGGGTTACGCCTTCTTTTTTCGAAAATTCATAATCATCCCAATTTTTGAAACGATATAAGGGTAGATGGGATGAAATCATGATGGTCGATTTTTGCTGGATGCTGAAAAGAGAAACGACTGTTCGAGGCGAAAAAAGTAGGCGTAACCACTCACACAGATCTTTCGAAGAAAAAATAACCTGGTATAGTGCAAAAGAACAAGGCTGAAATATATTAGTAATTTTGACATAATGCCAATGTAGACCTTTATAATCTGTGATGTAGATTCCAAAACAAGTCCTAGGTTAAGGTTCAAGGACGACGTGTAAGATTACTTTTGACAACAAATTTGGATTTGCCAGGTTTAAAAACCCTAGAACAGAAAAAATAATTTTTTTCAGCTTTTTGATGTTAGGTTGAAACTCAGACGTGCAGGGCGAATTTTGACATCGGATTCACCGCGTCAAAATACATAAACCTATGTCACATAACCAGATCCGGGTACTTGTTTTTTTTTGTGTGGCTGTGTAATTTATGATTGGCTTAAAAAAGAATTTGAATTCTAAACTTAATATTACTTCTTCCAAAACTAACGCATCTACATGTTTAAATAAATTTATTTTAATAATTACTTTTTTTAATTATTATATTAACTGCATTCGACTTTTTAATTATAAACAGATTTAATTAATTTATCTAAAAACGATACGCAAACTTCTGCTTTATAGCTGAAGATTTAACCTTTGAGAGAAGAAAGTATTACTAAGAAAACATAATTTAATATTATCTCTAAAGGTAAAAACACAGCTCCAGGTTATAATTGTGTTACCAACAAAAACTACCAACAAAAACAGACTATGAAATATACTTGGAAATTATATGATTATATAAATATTGCATAACAAAGTACTATTTGTCGGAAAATGGAAAACTGGCATAATTATAAAAATTCCAAAACCCAACACCGATAAATCCAAAGTTAACTATAGTCGTCCCGGCGAATGTTTCAAATTGCGTTATCAATATCGAATGTCAAAAACCGATTTCTCGACAACTATTATACAAACCTATAACTCTGCTGTCAAACTTGGACAAAAATGTTGATAACATTTTATGCAATAGAATTACAAATGCTATAGGATAAAGCATTCATTGCTATCAGTTTGGATTCCAGAGCAACAAGTCAACTACCCATCCACAAACAATGTTTGTTAATAATATACAAACTACACGTTTAAGAAAAACCACCGCTCTGTTCCTGGATAACAGCAAGGTATTTTACAGCGTCTGGCATAAAGGATTATTATACAAACTGCATAGATAAATTGCCCAAACAACATCCTCAAAACACTTACGCAATATTTTTATAACAGAAATCTACAAGTATCAATAAATAATACAACTTCACGAATTTTCAAAGACAAACAAGGACCGCCCCAGGGTTCTTCTTTTTACACACTGCTGTATAATTTCTATTGTGCCGACATTTACAATGACAAAAAACCCCTTTGTTTAATAAATGGAGACTTAAACCAAACCCACATAAATTTCAATTAATACACTTTTATCAAACCAAGATTGACCATCAAAATAAAAGTAAATATGTACAATACCCTAATAGTATCAAAATCGAATGTAAAATACTTGGGAATTACATTGGATAATAAAGTAAACTTAAATCTACATTCATCACTGTCAAAGAAGAACATAATAACAAGAGCCAGCCATTTTAGAGGATGTACATACAACAAAAAAGTTATAATGAAAAAAAAAAAGAATATACACACTTATCAGTAAGAAAGCCAACAACGATATTCTTCAATGGAAAGTAGGCAAGTAAAAGCATATGTTGACCCAATACTTTTATACCGGTTGAAATTTTATTTTTTCAATCGAAAGAGCATACATTAAATAGTATATATTAACTACCCCCGCGCCGCCTTGCCCACTATCTTGAAAAAAACGTTGAATTTATGTTTTAATAAGTTACGAACCGTTTATCGCACAACGGCCAACAGATTTAACAAAACTACATTTTTTATAAAACTTATTTTGCTCACTGATGCGTTGTTGCATGAATAAATGCAAATAAATCAACAACTTCTTGGGAAATTAGTTTACTCTAGTTCTGAAATTTTGTAGCTCTAAAAATTCCCTATAAATTGACTTCTTAACTTTTAATTAAATTGGTCTAGTAGTCAATGGTCGCACATGACCATTGACAATCTACGCTCAAAGTCGCGAGCTCTGTTTCGCGGAAGCGTCGAGCGCAATCACGCAGCGTACATTCGCGTGTATTTTACAAAGTTTTAATTAATACCCATTAAATTGCGCTTTTTTAAAATGCTATTTTTAAAGAAACATCGAAATGTTTTAGCTTGTCCAGCCTACTCATTTTATAGGAAATTTCAAAGGCTACAAAATGTCAAGAGAAAATGTTTGTTAAAATAATAGTGTAAAGGGTAAAAAAGAAAAAAAAAACGATTTTCCAAAAAATGATTTAGGTTTTTTTATACTTATTTGTTTTACAAGTGTTGAAAAGCGACTTTTTCATGCAAGTGTTTAAGTTGCTGCATTAACACGAGCTTGAAGAAAGCTTTTCTCACAAGTGAAACACAATGTTTTTTCTACGACCCTCTTATTTTTTATTATATTAAAATACAAAACAAAATAACCTAAAAATGTGTTTGACAGCTGTTAAAATTCTTTCATCTTAGGGTATGTTCCGTAAGTCAACTTGGTTGGTTTGGTTTCGGTTAAGGTGTCCCGTAAATGAAAAATTCCTGAAAATTATGTAGTTAAGAAACGCGGTTCCTGAAAAATAGGTTAACCAATCGTTACCGAAACGACCGACGCTGTATGATCGGTTAAATCGGTTACCAGTGCTGCAAACCAAATGGAAACAGTGTTGCCCTAAACAAAATTACTGTTTTTTGTTGGTTATCTAACCTAAACATTTAACACAGGAGCAGACTTCTTCTTCTTCTTCTTTCTAAGTTCGGTATTGTCAACCTTGGTGCTTGGAATCTAGTCCATGTGACCATATGCTTGTAGTTGGGAACTAAGGTCCTGGATGTTTTATCCCAGGATCTCTACACCCCAAAATGACCCTCTTCGAAACAGTTTCTTCCAGAGGCAATGTAGACTTCCAGGTATTGTGATGGAATTGATTTGAGAGGAATAAACTTGATAGGTAAGGATGGTTGAACGAAGAAATGTAGGAATCTAGAGCACATCATAAATTTAAATTAGATTCTTTTAAGAATGAAAAAATTAGCCTATACGTATCTAAATGAAATGAAGCAAGCAATGGGATACATGCTAAAGGTGGTTGATGCCCCAGGGCTAACAATTTGTTATACAAATTATTACAATTATGTTGGTTATTTTGACAATTAAATAAAATATGGTTGATACTGCCGAATTCTCCGCACACACACAAGGGATCCTATTTTACACCAATACGGTTCATATGTTCCGGGGTTAGGCAATGCCCAAGCCTAATTCTAATTAATGTTGTTACAAATTTTCTTCCCTCAAACTCGGGTAAGTAAAACCACGGAATCCGCCAATCCCTTCCCGAACTTGCATAACGTTTGCCTCTGGTAATCTTAGAGTTGTTCCAATAATCTTTCCATTTCGAGTATAAATTATCTCTACTCAATTTAACAAAGTCCATCCACGGAATTTTGACTCTGCTCATTGGCATATCTGCACCTTTTTTTGCTAGTAAATGTGCCTTCTCATTTCCAGAGATTTCCATATGTCCAGGAATCCAGCAAAGAATCCCTACACAATTTTCCATGGCCAAATCGTGAAATATTTCCCTAATGCTTATAATAAGATTATTCAGGGTAGTAGTTTTGTTGGAATGGGAGACAATAGACTGGATGCCACTCATTGAATCGGAGAAGATGACGAATTTTTTGATTTTTCTCTCCAAACAAATACGAGCTGCCTTAAAAATGGCCCATAATTCAGCGGTGAAGATTGAAGCTGCTTTATCTATATTGCATGAGAAATTAATTTGGAGATTTTCACTGTAAACCCCATAAGATGTAGACACTGAGGGAACCACTGATCCATCAGTAAAAATATGGGTAAAGTCCGGCCATTTTTTTTTAGTTACCTCCTTAAAGATGGAATTATTAAACGTTTTCAGACGTGGATCCCTGGGTATTCCCAAATCAAAGCAATGGGGAATTTTGATCTTACATTTAAAATAATCCGAAGAATAGATAGGGAGTTTATTTTTCACAGAAATGCGGCAGCGAACGTCTGCTAGATTATTCATAGCCAACACCAGATCGTTTTTTTCTGCAGAGGCACCACGAGCATATATGCTCGTCCTTAGAATTTCAATGTGGTAAATAACTGGATTATTTGAA